TCAAGACCTATAAATATTATATTTATATTGGTATTGAACACAATAACAGTAATTACTCGTATTTCTATAAAAAATTCTACAAAATTGTAATTAATGGTATTACTTCAGGTATTGGTATTTCCCTAGATTTTTGCGGTAAAATATTTTGTACTGTATTTTCTGCTTTCTCCGATATGTGTGGAGGAGTCTTCTATATCGCTAATATCAGACATTTTAATATTATAATTATCGAAGTTTAGCTACCTACGAAAATTTAATACGTTTTGACAACTAAAATAATTACATAGGAACCTAGGACAAACGTCAAACAGCATGCTTGATTGAAAAATTGTAGGTTTCTATTGATTAAAAATCTGTATCGTAATGAAAAATCTGTATCATAATGGGTATCATTATGAAACGGATTATGGGCATATAAGTGCATTATTATAATACGGGTGTAGAAAAAGTCTTTTTTACGTTACGGGTACAACATGGTATCTAAACGGCATAAAAGTAGATAAGAAAAACTAAAAATTTAACAAAAAAACAGCCTCTTTATGTGACCCGATTTCTTATGTCATTAGTGTCAAAAAAATTTTGTCAAGTTGGTTGCACTTCCCTTGTATAGAAGCAATGAACTGGGGCTCGATTCTCGAGATCATTGGAAAATTTTCCCATGGGAAAATATTCCACTACTTATATTCCCATAGTAATGGGTTATGCAATTCTCGAACGTGTCGGAATAGACATTCCCATGGAAATAGTAGTTTCACGATATTAAGTTCACGAATATTTCGAAACAACCAATAACATTAAAGATATTTTAAAATTTACTGTTGGCAATATTTGTATTTGTTGTGGTTTTTGGGTATCCGATTACCTGCCAAGCCTCCGCGCTGGAGCAAGTGCCGTGCCGTGCCGAGCAATCGCTATCATGATCGAGGAATAAGTGAAAATATTCGATTACGTATAATAATTAAAACTTGTCGAGTTATTCTTAGTTTTTCTTTTCTCATGTTGAAAAAAGAAAAGGTAGCTTTTGTATGGAAGAGCAACGAAAGTTTTGAGAAACTAAGGACCGATTCCACCGTTGTGTTAAACGAAGTTTAAAGTGACATTTTTACATTAACAATGTCATTTTAATCTATGTTTAACACAACGGTGGAATCGGCCCTAAGAAATTCTTTCATTAACGAAAATAATAAAATTTTCGAAAAGTTCTTATTAAATTTACTACACTCAATTTGTGTTATTTGCCAGTCCCTTAGCAGCTCCCACAATTTCTAAATGATTTAGGAAAATCTTTGGTTATGTCTTAGACTTTCGCGTGGTCTTCGTCAAATTTTCGACTTTAATGCGCAAGCTCTAGTACAATTCCCATTGGAAAACACAATTTCCAATGCTCGTAAGCAGGGGAATATTTTCCCATACTTCTCATTGGAAAATATTCCACCGATTATGTCGAGAATACGAAAACTGAATTCCCATGGGAAAATTTTATTTTATTTAACAAAGTGAAATAGAAAATGGTTGTTATAAATACTCCCGAGTGAGATGAAAAATAACCTGTCTTTGCCCATAGAGTCGCATCTCAAGCCTATTGACAAGCATTCTACCCCAGTCCTCTATTGAGACGTGACGCTCAATAAAAAACCAAAAAACATTGAAAAGAAAATCATCGATGTTAATTGAAAAATCGATGTTACCAACCGATAAAAAAAACTCGATGTTAACTGATAACATCGGATAAAAAACATCGATGTTAACATCGAAACCGAAAAATCGATTTTTTTTAAAAAACGATGCATCGTGTGCATCCCTAAATACGATCGCAGTACACTGTAGAGTGATGGGTAACAATATCAGTTGACACTATATTTTAAATAGAATAAAGTATTCTCGAACAAACGTATATTCAACAAACGATACAGTTTTTGTAAAATAAAACGAAAAGCCAATTAGTTTTCATCTGCAATGCGCCACAACGGCGTTTTAAGTTTTTGCTGCCTGGATTTTTCACCAACTAATAACTTGTATCAAATAATTTTCTACATTCTAATAATTTATATATATTTTTTTAAATTAGCGCTACGTTTTTAATACTTAAAAAAAAATTATAACGCGCAAGTTTCTGAGATTCTTGAAATTCGGCTCGCAGTGCCTTCTCACTTTGTTGCCAGGACTTTCCAGTGCCAGATCGATTGCAACAGACGATTTACATTAATATACAGGGTGATTCATAACTATTGGGACATAGATTAAGGGCAGGTTATTTAGATCAAAATATGGCGATAGGACCAAATATACCTTAATAAAATATTGCTGTGGAATAAGATACAGGGCGTTAAAGTTGAATATTTTTTTTCGTTTTTTTTTCTAATCTCACTGTATATTTATGAATTGTTATCAAAATCGGGTCAAAGGCATATCTTTGGACAAGGGATATTATTTTATGTATTATTTCACATTTTTTTTACAGGGGGCGCCACGAGAATGATTCCTGATGATGAAATTAAGTGGTAAGTTTTTTGCCAAAACTTTTTAGTACTTTTTATTAGAAAATATTACGTAAATATCATTTCTACGTAATATTGGTACTCCTGTTTAAACACGATAATTTCACTTGTTTTCGAGAAAAACGCAATTGAACAGTTCAGAGTCTCAGAAGGATATTTCAAAAAATTATTATTTATGAAAAGTGTCCTTTGGACTGTCAGATAATTGTGTCTGGTAAATGTCAGTTCTTGCCAATGAATTATTTTTGCTGTGAGATTATAGTCTATTGTTGCATTTTTTAACGCCCTGTATCTTATTCCACAGCCATATTTTAGAAAGGTATATTTGGTCCAATTGCCATATTTTGGTCCAAATAACCTGCCCTTAGCTTATGTCCCAATAGTTATGAAAACCCTCTATATATTATTCTATCATAAAAAAAATTGGGCTTTGCGCAAATGCAACATAATAATTTCGTTTTCCAAACTTGAAGGTCACAGCAGTAAGGTCTTCCACCGCTTCAATAAACTATGTTTTTAACCATTTTTTTACCCATTGGTCAAATAATTCAACATCGGTCCAATTGACAACTTTTGACAGGTAAATAATTGACTGAGCTGACATACCTACATTAAGTGATTCCCAAAATAAGTAGATAATATTTTAGCTAAATAATCGTTCAGTATGTAATTATATAAAACAGTAATTAAAAATAGAGTAGATGGTTAAGGGCCAGTCTTTTCACCTCTGAGTAAAGTTAAAAGTAACTACTTGCTGATTAAACTATAGGGACCGTGCGTCATGACTTTAACGCTAACTGGTGACAAAAATGTGAACTTTATGGGGGGTATTTATTAATGTTTTATACGGCATTTATTGTTTAATAATTATTAATAAAATGAAGTCGAATTATTTTCGTAATATCAATATCGAAAAAACTTGTTGCATCCGTGGATGTACAAACACATCACTTTGGAAACCTGGATTTCATTCGATAGTAAAGAAATTTTATAAATTTTCACAGAGCACAATTATGCCTCACACCCAATGATATACATAATTACAAAGATTGCTTATCCATATGTAAATCAGACGACGAAAAGCGTATTTCACTAGGCAAAGTTTTCTTTTTATCTAGCTTGTATCAATTTTGAGCACTTAGTTGTAAAGAAATCATTTACAGAACCGGTTTAGAAATTAGAATCTTTAGTGTTTTCTTGCCATTAAGATTTTTACATATTTAAATGAACATTTTATATAAATATCATTTTACAGATAATGGTTTATTCTGTTGATTAAAACTAATGTAGAATATGCATGAAATAAGAATGTCCAATTTGACAAAAATATCACGGCCCTCTTTACAATTTATTAACTATTTCTCATTTATTATTAAAATAAACATAATAAATAATACATTGCAATTACTGTCAAAAGAGATTGTAACAAACTTTAAAATATTAAAAATCCAGTGATTTTTGTAAATTTTTTTAGTGACATTACCATTAAACATTATTCAGAATAATGGATAAGTGTCCAATTACAACTCTTCCCAAAGTTGTTTATACCTCATATCAAAATTGTTTACATTACCTTTTCAAAATTGTATTACATATTGCAATTATGTATTTTATGTAGAATTGTTTCTGAAATAGTAGTCTAAAATTATTTATATCTATCTGTTATAAAAATTGTTTAGATCTCTTAATATTATTTAACTACATGAAAACTCAACTTTCCAAATACATAATGACATGTCTTGAAGTAAAACTTTAATTATTTTATATATCTAAAATAAAATGCTGAAATTTTATTTTAAAACACATTTGGGCTAGAACGGCTCTATTTAGTGAGCACTAGGAAAGGCACATTGCAACCCGCTTTTCATAATTTTTTTATAGATGGGTGAGCAATCTATAATATGTATCATTGAACATCTCATAAACGTCAGTGGATGAATGACATTTCGATTAACATGAAGCTAAAAAGATTTATAATTATTATTATCAATCTTTTTTATTAATTTACATTATTTAAATGTTATTGTAATACTTTTAAATTCAGTGTTACTAAATACCGATATTTTAACATTGGATACACTTGTTTAAGGTACAACTTTACAATTTATTGTCACTTAGCCATTTAAATATTTTTGCTTAAAATGTATATGCATGTCCAGATTTTAATAATGTTTCACATTTTACGTCATTTTGACCATGTACACGATTGTTTGGTACGGGCCGGTATCTATTTTTAACTATATTTAATATTTAAAAAAATACCCTTTATTATTTACTTGCAATGTTTACCCCATTTAATTCTAAAATTAAACACTAGAGAGGGCTAAGTTCGGCAGTAGTGCCGCCTCTATATTTCACGCACGGTCCCTATAGGGCTATTGTTTGTTTATATGTCAAGTAAACCTACATGTAACTTTACTCAGAGGTAAAAAGATCGACCCTAAATTTAATTTATGTTATTTTCAAGAATAAACTCATTTAAATAAAAATAAACTTTCTTACCTCCTGTTGATCTTTTACATCTGTCATTTGATTTGAAAGAGATGTCAAATATCTGGTAATCCTTCTCTTGTATGGTTGCAAGCTAAAAAATTCAAAACGTAAGCCAATACAAAAACTACAAATAGTTAAAAAAATGAATAAGGATTTTCGGTAAACATTTTTGAAGCCAGAACAGAAGTTTCCAGAATATATTCACATATTTTCCATAACGAAAAACTTTATGACAAAATTGAAAATAGTTAAATTTAAAGGCCGAGCTATGGCCAATTTACCTTGAATATTTTATTTTTTTATTACAGTGACTTTCATAAAATAGAAAATATAATTTTTTTGTATTTGCAAGCCTTAAACTTAACGGATGATCAAAAATAGGACACTACATAATAACGCATGCCTAATAAGTAATAGAGGGGACTTACTGTTTGAATATCTCATCAATATTTTCGTAGAAGAAATTCTTGGCGATGAAATATCCAACGTCATTTCTTGCTACAGAACCAAAAACGCTGCTACTATCTTGCCTTCTTATGATGGTGTCGTTCAAAGACCATTCTAGATATCTGCTTAATAACCAAATTTCTTCCGTGCAACCAAGACTGCTTAGAATTGTTGTTTTTTCTGTAGCTACATTAGAATTTTGATATTTTTGCCACAAGAAATCCCATTCTGCCTCACCGCCGCCTTTTAGGGTGGTGCAATAGACAACACCGCGAAGATCTTTAGGGACGCTAAAAAAGTAATGCGAAATATTTAAGATTTGTATGGTAGGTTTTACTATTTATCTCCGAAAACAATCCTATACTTTTTTTATTTGCTCAGTTCATTCATTCTTTAACTTTATAAAAAGCGAAATTAATAAGAAAGGCTTTCAATAAAAATTCAAAACAAGTAGCTTCAGTACAATCCTGTATACAAAATAAAAGTCATTTAAGAATCACACTGTGAGCCATGTAGCCTTCCACCGCGACCTTTTCAGATCTACTGTGGATATCCTTTAATCATTGGTTAGAGTAATTGGTCTAATTTGGTCTTTTGTAGTAGACTCCGAATACTAAGAAATAGCTCTCCGGCGTAGCTAGTTGTCCATGGTTTTTCTTCTCCAAGTTCAAGGTATCTCAGTATTGATAGACATTTGCAGTAGCTCAATACGTGTATTGCAGTTTTCTCCGCTTCCTGACAGAATCGGCACAAAGTTTCTTCTGCCCAGCCGATGTTATACATAGTGTTACGCAGGTTTTTGGTATATCAATTAATTTTAACTCAACTTTTACAATAACGATACAACTGATAACATTAACGCATAACGTCTATCATAAAACTGAACTCTGACGCCAGGTCGTCGACTTGTATAGCTCGCCTCAACCTTCTAGAACCTTCTCGAACAATCCGGATTTTTCTTTGACAAGGAATGACATTTCTGGACTATTCTATCTTCTTCATTTACTCGTACCTTTACTTATGACGACCACAGGGCGCTGCGTAACAATATTTTTTTTAAATCCTACAATGCCCTATTAATAGGCCTAGTAGATATGCTTGGTGATTTTGAGCAATGGCCCTTTTAAGAATTTTCTGGCCTGTCTCTGTCCTAGTGATTTGTTCCGCCATTCCTGAAATTTGTTTAACATCCACTGCTTCGTGCATATTCTGGTGGCTGCCTTTGTGAAGGGTTCTGGGCCAATAAGAACCTTTGAGACTGCTTCTCGGGTTAGTAAATCAACTTCTTCATTACTTTCTTGGTCCCCAGGCTAAGGTTAGTCTATTTTGACTACCCAGCTCTATCAGGGCTTCCAAACAGCCCTACATATGCTTTGAGTGTACCTACATGGAATGAGTATTTTTAATGTCGCTTACTGAATGACAATGATTTTTTCCATTTACCTAAAGTCTTAATACCTCTTTTGCGCAGTGATGTATTGCTCCTATTTCTGCCAGGAATATTAGCGCATGTTTACCTAAGCTCAGTGAGATTCGTGTCTTTTAGTTTGGCACTATATACCTACTCCTGGTCCTTCGTAGGTTTAGAAACCGTCTGTATACCAGGGGATTTTTGCGTGAATAGAAGATCCTCCAGTCCGCGCTTTCCTGTTTGGTATACTTACTTTATATTGTTTTTGAAAGCTCTATTTTGGGAGCATATTATCTGAAGGCATTGTCATTATTTGGTCGTTCTTTATATACCTCGCGATAGTTATACCCATGCAGATTGCTTATGGGTGATGGACCTTTGTGTAGTCTATATGTGACGGGCCTTCTTGGGCTGCCGTTGGAGTCATTCTCACAGCTCTCGTGGCACTTATGAATGCTTGCCTTTGAATACGGTTCAGCTATCGAAAGGCTCCAGCTTGCCGAGTCTTTGGCCAACATACCACCGATCCTTAGGTTATCATAGGCCTTGTGACTTGTATATAGCCATAGGGATAATTTGGGTTGTAATCCCCAATTCTTTCCGCACAGCCTTCGACATAATTTAAAAGATGTGCTTTTTTGAGTGACTCTACAAGTCCATGTTAATCCTAGGAAGACACACAAGTATTTGGCGTTTTATGCAAACAAATCTCCATTCTTTTCAGTAGATACTGGTGACTTTATTCCTAGCAATTCCTTTCGTTTTGTGAAGTTGACTATTGTAATTTTGTGAGGGTTTACTGTTAATTCCTTCTCTCTGAACCGTTCGTCAACGATGTTTAGAGCGGTTTGTGTACTCTCCGATATCTATAACTAAACGAAAATTTACATCATTCAATTCATAGAAAGTAAAGTTTGCAACATATAAATCCTTTATAGAAAAGCAATCGACTTTGGTAATAATGTACATGTAGTGACTTTATTTGTAACACAATAAAGAAAATTTTCAAGTAGTGTTCGATTCTTTCTTGAGACTATCTTAGTAGAAGAAAGAACCGTGTGCCGGCTACCAGATCTTCAAGAGTGTACATCTACGTTTATTAGAGTCTCAAGCGAATATAATAATAAAATAACTTTTACATGAACACGGAGTGTTCCAGAAAAAGCGCCATTAAATTAAATACAATTTTTTTTTGATCTATCACATGAAAATTAATAATTATTAATAAATAACCTTTCCTAGATGCATTAATTTGTTGAATAAGTTTCAACTTTTTTTTTATAAATTCATCTATCGTATGACTTACATGTTTTCACTGGGATCATCTTGTAGTTTTTGGAACAAATTTTTCGCGTGTGCAATGCAGTTGGACACTCCAAATAAACAAGCTTTGCTAACTATCAGTTGTTGTAATTTTATGGAATCTAATTTTTCAGGATTAGAAACAGTTGCTTCCAGACCACCTAGTTTTTCGTAAATTGGTGTCAATAAATATTTCATATATTCCTAAAAAAAAAATACTCTTAAGTAATTACATTTTTCTACTTGCATAAAATATAAGCAAATCATCAGTGACTTAAACAATAATTGATATGTGGACGTTGTTTCATTGAAAATTCCACACCTGTAATTTTGAACCAATCAAAATACGTCTTTTTGACAGATCACCATGGCAACGGAGGTATTTTAGTGGAAATTTTTTTCTCGTGGGGTACCCAACAGCGAATTATACTGGAAATTTTTTGACGTTTACAATAACAGACCATTTTTGACAGACTGGTTTTTATTTGTTCACATAATAGGTTTAGTTTTGATACATTTTAGTTACAATGCTAAGGTGTTTTCTATATTCTTCGGCCACTTATTTTCTTCTTAATGGCGAAAATGCAGGACTTTGGATGCTTTGAATTATGTGTCTATGTCTAATAAAATATATATAATATTTAGACACTAATTTATTCACCTTTTTCCCATTCAGCACTTTGAATTTTGCGTAGTTTAGGTGCAAATATTCGTGGACAATTCGGAACAAATTTTCGTTTTTCAAGTTGGAGCCACAATCCTCTATTAATCCGAGTAAGTAAGTCATGGTGCAATGATTGATCATTACATCAGACAATTTCACGCATATTTTGCATAGCGTATGATTTTCAAATCGATTCATTTTTAAACAAATAGGTAATTTTGTTGGTTTTACTTGCTGTGCAATATTCTTTATCGCAACAAAACGCGAGTTATTTAATGTTTTGAACTGTCAAAATACAATGATCACAGCCTCCTACGATTGATGCTTGCTGACGCTGGTTATGAATTTCATACCATTTTAAAGCGCTCATAACGCATGTTAATAAAAACGCAGAAAAACAATTTTCTACCACTTGTAGTTATTCAAAACTTACGTAAAATTAAAAAATATACTATTTTCTATTTTCAAATGGTATTCCCATGCAACTACAATGAGTAGAAATAAGCAATTTGAAGGCCTAAATAATTGCAGCGAAACATTTTTTTACGTCGGGCCGCTTGACAACTTCAAAACTGAAATTATATTCGAGGTTAGGGTCTCACTTAGTTACCATGACAACTCAAAAATCAAGGCGACAACACCTTTTATGTTTCACTGGTGACTTGGAGAAAATAATTTGCATTGTTGAGAAACGAAAAATAAATTTTAAAAATATTTAATTTTCAACCATAATTCGGCGTGGAATTTTCTTACCGAATACCACGCGAGGTCAAATTAATATCAGGAAATTTTTTGACCTAGATAAGGGTAAAATGAATGATAAGTTTGCTTTATAAACTATGGGCCAAAAATGTTGCATTACGAAAATTCGGGATGCTAAAGTTTTAGGGAAAAAAGGAAATTAATATTAAGATATTTCAATAATATTTAGTACGCAACAAATTTCTCTAATTAAACTTTTCATTCATCGCTCTTCATTTTCATATTCATTGCTTTTACGGCGCTTTTAGTAATATCAATAACTTAACATTGGTGGACGAAATCAGGGATCTAATCTTCCCTTACCTATGAATCTAATACACATCGTGTTATATACCTTCGACGTTGCTATATTGGTGGCTAGGCAAGGGTTGAAGGATAAACCCGGTTGGGGTCGAATCTTAGACTCCTATTAACAATTAGATCATTGGATTTATAACACTCCGGTGGTCTAGTGGTTATGTTGTTGAAACTTAAACCCAAAGAGCGCAGGTTCGAGCCTTGCTCGTAGCAAAATTTTCTTCACTCCTCGGATTCTGGAATTTATTCCTTAATTTTTTTGCAATAAAATAATTTTAGAAATATTTTTTATTATAAATAGATTAGGGGTAAAAGTATTTCTTGACTAATAATAAGTCCTTGAATCAATTTTATGATATCCGTCTTTAATTTTTGGTATTATGATATATTATACTGTCGTGCGAGCCTGATATTCTCGCCGTACAAGCCGCCATCTGTGTTTCGATACCGCTAGACAGAGACAAACGGACTCCGAGAAGTTACTGGATGAATCTCATAGAGAAAGGATTTCCAGAGCTTCTAGAGTACCATCGAGAATCTTCTCATGCAGGGATGGCCTTATATAAATAGCGCGACTTTGTTTACTAAATTAGTTGAGTTTATAATATAAACAAAAGTTTTAATATAAATGTTGTCAAGTAAAGGTTAATTGTAAAATAAATTATAACTCTGAAACAGTGCTTAACTATAAATAAATTAATTAGTACTTGGTGTAAATAAATTATAAATAAACTGTTTTAAGTAAAAAAACTATTTTTAAAATAAACAATCGTTACAATACCTTAATTTTTCTTACCTTGTATTTGCCATAGGTTGAGGATTTTTTTAAATGGTTTGTAATAACGTTAGTTTTCTCCAAAGCAGCTTTCCAGGGCATAAGTTCAGTTTCCTGTTTCAAATATTTTAACAATTCGAAAAATATATCGTATTTCAAATTTCCTACGAAAGCAAGATCGGCTGCGTCACTCAAAAGCTGAACCCTATTTAATGTTGGAATTTTTTTAAAATCGGGTCCTTTCAGAAAGCTTGTAATGAGTTGCCAGTTCTTCTCATCATAATTGACTTTATAGATTCCTAAAACAACATTTTCGTTATGACAAATTCAATTCTAGAATTAATTTAAGAATTTTTATGTCAGACTTTGCCAGATAAAAAATATTTTTCCGAAAATAACTCCGCCTTTATTTTCGGAAAAATTCAGCTTTTAATTGTCGGTCCCCGATTAAAAGATTATTTTCAAAGGAATGCGGTTTAATACAGTTGTTACAGTGACGGATAAGGAGGCAACGTTATCTCGTGATGGGCGGTAGGATTTGACTGATTGCCTGATCTTGGATGACGAATGGACTTAGTATCCGTAGCCAAAGGAAACCTAAATCTTATCGCACATACCTTGGATATTAAGAAATTAAATCGGCGATAACACTTGACTTGCTTCGCTTACATAACTTCAGAACTCACAAAAATGGTATTCCGAATAAAGTTGGGAAATTAATTAATATTTCGGCTTTAATAAGTTCCATCTTTGAAACCAGACTGCGATAACACTTTACTGGCCACTCTTACGAAAGTTCAGAAATCCTACACCGCCCAAAATTCGAGACTAGTAAAAACTAATTTGTCTCGGACTATTTCTTGCTAATATTTTACAGGCAACGGTCGGTCATGAGAACATTAAAATAAATCTTTATAGAAAGGTTACAGTGAAAAATGTCTACCTTAATTCTTCACAGGTTAACACAGAGCGACAATAAAAAAACGACGATATTACTTCGGCACTGGAAAAAGAGCAGCGGAAAAAGACAAAGAATTCTCGGAGAGCACAGTTTTATGCTTTACGCTCGGAGTGGGAGTAGCCAATATTTACAAATAGAACTAAAAAAGGTCCTTTAGACATTTGCGAAAATGACCAGATAATTTACCTGAATTTGAGCTGGATTCGAATTTCAGTAAATATTTATTTCGCAAATGTTCAAAAACGGGAATTTTTAAGAAATAAAAATACGGGGGTTCTTGAGAAATTTAACAGACGGAAATTAACAACTAAACATTTTTATAATTAAACTAAAAGAAAATTTAGTGACTTCATCACAACTTTAAGAGTAGAATATATGGTATTAATAATATTCAACATCAACTATGAATTTTGAATGGGAGAATATTTTTTAATTAAAAATATAAATGGAAAAGTTTAGTAGGAATTTTATCAATGTGTCTAGTTTTTTTTCTGGAAATTATTCCACGGGACAGCCTACTTGATATATTTATAGTTATTTTTACACAATTGAAAATACGTACAACATTTTATGTATAAAAAAATGTATACGTTTTCTTTTAAGTCCATTATTTTATCGTACAAAGGTTTTTCAGGGTACTTCCTTTTTGGATCGATGTTGGGTTTCTATGGATAATCATCTGGTTAAGTAGTTCTGTATTTGGTTTCTTTACAATTTAAATACCTAGCTCATTCATCTTTTGTCGAGTAGGTGTAATTTTAATTATTTCATATAGTAAAACTGATTGGATGAGATGCCTCTTTCTAATATCTTTAATTTGATTTATTATCTTACCTGCCATTTGGTTATTGAAAATGACCCATTCATTATCACCAGCTAAGTTTTCAATAACGTTACTGTGCCGTGGACATGACATCCAATATTTGGGAGTAGTTACATTGAAATGGAGATTAGACTGGGTTGAATAACTCAACGGTATCCACCAGCAAGGGTTAGAATCATCTTTTGTGTGGATTATATCTCTCAAGTAACGTTGCTAAAATAAAAAGATCAAAATTATCTAACTCAAAAATAAAATGGCTTACAACTATATTATTTTTACCTGATTAATTTCAGCACTTTCTATAGCATAATCTCTTGTAACAGTAATAACCGGATACCCAGTCTGGACAGTCCAAGTATCCATAATGTGCTTAACAGTCAAATTTGCAGGTAAAACGTTTTTCTTGTGCGCTTCTTCAGTCAATGATTCCCACAAATCGTCCTGTTCAGCATTGCCGAATTTGTGCTTCTTTAAATAGTTGCTAACGCCAGTTCTTACAACGCCCTCTCCGAGGAATAAATTCATCATTCTGATGATAGAGGAGCCCTTTTTGTACGAGATGGCGTCAAAAATTTCGTCGATTTCTTTGGGATTGCCGATTGGCACCGAAACCTAAAATTAGGAAAACCCACTTCATTATAACATTGTCTTAGAAAAGAGGTTAAAATGTGAAATATCATTAGTAAACTCAATAAATAATAATGGTCGTACATTAGTTCCTTGAGGAACCCCAAAATTTGGGAGGATCATAATATAGATTTATCTTTTAAATTAAAATCTCACTTCGATTAATAGACATATTCAGAGACATCCCATATGACAGAGTTTCTCAAACTGTGGGGCGCCACCAAGAATGAGTAAAACACCTCTATTAACACCTCATTAGCCTTAGATTGATGTATGTCACTAAGCTCTGAAAGATAGGAGAAATCATGATGGTTTCAAAACCAGGCAAATCACTTAATGAAGTTTCATCATACATACAAATTTCTTTACTTCCTGTAATATCGAAATTATATGAAAAATTACTCCTTAAAAGATTGAAACTAATAATAGAGGAAAAGAATGTACTTCCTTCTCATGAATTCGGCTTCGGAGAAAGTCTTTCTAGAATACAGACACTATTGAAAAATCGTTAGAGGAAAACAAAGTTTGCTCTACAATCTTCCTGGACGTAGCGCAAGCTTTTGATAAAGCATGGCATGAAGGATTGTTCCACAAAGTGGAAACCCTATATTCAGGCCTATTAAAATAATATTTTAACAAAAAGATATTTCAGAATTAAACAGGAATAAGCATATTATGAATTAAAGAAAATCAAGGCATGTATCTCAATTTAAGTTTCTTAAAGACGATGTATGCAACGTTAGACTTACAGGATGCGATGTCCGTAGAGAATCAAAAGAAAATACTCCTAACATATTATCAGCAGCTTCTTCTTCCAAAGAGTTCCATTGCGGGAATAAATCCTCAACAGCTAAACTAGCCATGTAAGTCGCAAAACCTTCGTTCAGCCAGAGATCAGTCCACCATTTCATTGTTACCAAATTTCCGAACCATTGATGAGCCAACTCATGTGCTAAATTAAAAATAGAACATAAAATATATAAAAATAGATTTGTTAATTACGTTGTTCATAAGTATGTCAAGTTAAACTTACCTATAACTGAAGCAACATGGTGTTGACTGGTTCTTGAAGAAATTTTGGGATCATACAGCAAATATGCTTCTCTGTAAGTAATCAGGCCCCAATTTTCCATAGCCCCGGCACTAAAATCAGGTATGGCAACCATGTCTTGTTTAGGTAGAGGATAATCGATATTGAAAAATTTTTCGTAGTAAGCCAAGCATTTAGGTCCCACTTCGGCAGCAAAATCAACCTAAAAATTATGATTTTTAAAAATTCGCTTATTAGCTTCTTGAATAGGTTTTCCAAAATGCAGTACTCATTTTCCTATCTGACATCATTGGCATGCCCGCATAGACCTTAAAAAGATTTATAATCGAGGCAAATAGTGTTAATTTATTTTTTACCTGATCTAATGCGTCTTTCCTAGCCCAAATTCTAAATGTCACATTGTTATGGTCAATTGCATGGCCGGTTTTGTACTCAAAATCTGAAATAACGAAGGCAACCAAATATGTGGACATGGGTACTGAAGTGTCAAAGTGGTCCCAAAACCATCCTTGTTTTTCTTTCCTGAAAAATACACCACAACATTCTTACATAAAAGTACATAATATTTATGGTTTGTGGACAAATTAAAAAGCACCATTCATTACTGAAAGAAGATCTAGAGTAGATAGAAAAATTATTCCAATATCATGAAGAAGTTGAAGACTGTTGAAGACGATTTTAACGCAAAAATGTCTGGTGGGGCTCAAAACTACAACCAAAGAAAAAAGGCACCAGGCTATTAAAGATCATGGGCATACTTATTGGCCAAGCGATATAAAGAAAATACCTGACCTCCTGGACTTTTTTATTTCCAGAAATACTTCAGCAAATTTTAGAAAATGTTGAAGAACGAATATCTGATCACTCCCCAATACTCTCAATGAGTGAAAATATTATCACTAGAGAGAACTCAATCCCACACTGAGAAACAAATATACAGACTCAGACTGGGATTAATTTCAACTTGATACTAAGTGTAATAATTTAATTAAATTTTCCAATTAGTACAATGAAAGTTTGGGATAGAAAGACAGAATTCTTTATGGTTAATATTAATCAAGCTGCATGGAATAATACACCATTAATATAAAGAAAAACCATAGGTATTAATTACCGCAAATAAGAGTTTTATTACAAAACAAAAGGCTCGAAAAGAGTGTAAAAGAATGAGAACTGAAGATAACCAAAATAAATTAAATAGACAACGGGGTGGGTGGCTCAGTGGTAGAGTCTCTGCCTGCGGATCCAAGGGTCCCAGGTTCGATTCCCACCGTTGGCCAGGATTTTTTCATTTAATTATTTAAAATTAATTCTGATGCTCTGGTAGGATTCCCCACTCGACCATTCACTGTTGGGTACAAATTAACAGTGCTGTTCCTAAAGTGGCGCTGGGAAACAGTAACAAAGCCTACACAGAACACGAGGCTAATAGACGCTTTCCATCCAAAACAAAGTCCTGGTTTGCAAACAAACAAAAAACAAATTACAATTACCTATAAATAGTTCAAAACCCAATTTTCTCATCAGGAGCTTAGTTAATACTCCTTGGTATGTTCTGAATCAATAGATTCACTGAGAATTCTAATTTGAATCAATTCCAAAATAAATTAAGAAAATGTCTAAGAGACATATGAAAAGAGACTCCACAAACACACCATCATTGAAGCACTCCAACTTTTAGACAATCAGCATCGCAGACTTAAAAGAGTCAAATCTTTTAAGCTTATGTAAGTAAAGTAATGGTGATAAAGCAGACAATATCGAAGTGTGCAGAATATTACAAAAATGCTGATTATTCCTGTAATATTAAGTTGCATTCTGATATATTAAAAAAATCAACAATATTGTATTTGATAGATTTGGAAACGGCCACAATATGACAGTCATTACCCCAACCGAGAAGACTCGGAATCAAATTATCTTGAATTCAGGCAACTGGGATAATTTAACTGAAGTCAAAATCAGTAAAATCCATAGAGAAACCTTCGTAATAAATAAATAAAAAATACTTACATTGGTTTTGTTTTTAACAAAGGCATATTACTGATGGAATTATATCCTTCTCTCCTTCCGATACTGATATCAAAAGTAGCCTTCATCTCAGGCTCGTCGAAGCATGGGAAAGCCAGCCTTGCACTTGTGGACTCAAATTGTGTTACACCCAGCCATTTCTTTTCTTTAATTTTTTTGTCGTAGTAACTACTCCTGGAAAACACAGAAAATATTATAAATTAATTGTTCATGATTTACATTTTTAATTTTAAAAGAATTTTAAAATGTTTGCTCAGTGGCATCTTGTACATGTATGCTTAATACATTATTAGAGTTTCGCTATGGAAAAAATTCACACATACGACCTGTATATACCTAGATGAACAATAAACTACTGTGTGGAGTATCAGCATCTTCTTCATATTATCCTCCGTAAAATTAATTTTTAATATTTACCTTTTTTGTTCAATTTATGATACTCATTTTTCCTAAATCTTCATAAACTTTTTTTTTTTTGTTAGAGTATTGTTACTAGTCATTACTGACTAACCTACAATTTTAATCTAAAAATCTTACAAACTAATTACTTATCTAAGAAGTCCCCATTGGGCTGTCTTAATTGTTTCTATAGGAAAGCATCACAAGTTGGCGTGAAGATTTATTACACTGTTTTACACTAGCACTAACATTAACGTTCACTGCACTAGCTCAAATGGCTTCTTCCTTTTGAGCCTTCTGTTGAGTGTAGAGTTGTCCAGTAATTGCAGCGCTTCTTCGTTGACGTGGGAGTGGAGTCGACCCTCATGTTTCGCAGCAAACCTCTTTATTTCTTCTTCGATTGTTGGCATCTTCAGGTCTCTATGTAGATAATCGTTTCGGTAGAACCAAGGTGCATCAACAATACATCTTAGGACTTTATTTGGAAAACTTGAATCATGTTAATATTACTCTTGCTGGCACATCCCCATAGCTGTATGCCATAAATCCAGATTGGTTTTAGGATTTGTTTATAAATCAGCAGTTTGTTGTGCACTGTCAATTTAGATTTTCTTCCTAGGAGCCAATACATTTTTTTTGAATTTAAGTTCAAGTTCTTTACGCTTTTTTTTATGTGCTCTTTCTATTTAAGTTTTACATCTAGGTTCATCCCTAGGTATTTGGCCGAATCGTGATGCGGAATAACGTCATTGTTTATTCTTATTTGTTTTTGTTCATTTGGTCGAAGAGTAAAATCAACATGCACTGATTTAGTTTGATTTATTTTTATTTTCCATTTTTTTGTCCATCGATTAATTCTGTTGCAGGTTTCCTGAATTTCTTCTGAGGTCTCTGTATTAGTTCCGCCAACTGCCAATATTCATAAACTTGATCTTACAATTGTATGCCTTCCTCTTGGTTATTGATCTCCAAGATATCTTTTATTATATTCAAACCATCATCACAACATGCTTTATTTTATTAGCATAGAAAAGCTCACTACCGCATTCATTTGTAATATGCTGTCCAAATGGTCTGATATCCATGATTACAGTAAATGCGGTTGGTAATGGAATGACAGAACCAAATAATGGGTACCCTACTGGACTGATCTTCCAGATGCAAACCATGGATGTTGATTGCTACTTAATTATGGTTGTTTGGTCTCATGGTCCCATTATGCAAATGTCAAGTAGTTTGCACAAACGGCTCACATGATACTAAAGTAACAAGTATCATATCGTTATTTACGTTAGATTATATTTGTGTCAACCATTCATGTTCCTTTATATTTTGTAATTAATTAATTACTTTGAATGAATAAAAAAAATTGTTTTTCTACCTTGCATTGTATTATCTAAGCTGTCATATCAAAATACGTAATGACCTTGAAATTGATTTTAAAACACAAATTAGATATGAGAAATTGATTCCTCGCATCCTAGAACCTACAAAAAGTGGTTATACTCAAGATTTTGTGTCTAATAAAAATACCAATACAGATGGTGGCCATATTTGATTTATAGCAAACAGGCCACCAGAGAACAACCACAAGTTGCTTGCGATTATTTCCTAAGATCTTAATAATGCCTAAGACTAAAGACTAGGTATACCAAATTTCAAATATTTGGCACAATGTGCACGATCCTTTTGAATTCCCCCTAGGCTATTTACCATGAATTAGACTATTTTGACATTTATTTTTACGAAATCCCAGGGTGAATAAAATGCCGAATAGAGTGAAACTACTAAATATAAAAATTACTCTTAGTTGAGATCTTAGATTAAGTCTCTTTAATCTAAGGTTGAGAGGCATATTTCAAACAGCTAATTTTCTGCCTGGTTACAAAATACAGAAAGGTATATCTCGAATTTCACTGAAAAAAGTAAATATTCGGTCACGTAGCTGGAATTCCTACACCGGACCTAGCAAAATCGGAACTTTTCTACACCCAGCTACAAAGAGCGGGCAAGAAAAGCGACGTTCCACTTTTAAAGTCAATTGAGTTTCTATATTGTTTTCTCCAAACTTCTTTTGCCTTTTGCTATCAAAGCTATATCGTCAATGTATCCTATAATTACTAAGCTCTGTGCTATAGGTTTGTTGATGTCTAAAATTAATATTACTGCATCTAATGCAACATTGAATAGTATTGTCGTTAGACCATCTTCTTACGTATTTGTATTGATATATTTCTGTCGTTAGTTATAATTATAATTTTTTACTATAGAATTTTTTATTGTCAACTTTGTCACTCTGATCATCTTTCCAAGAATATTCATTATTTGAGTCACATAAAAGATTAAAAAAATATATTTTTAGAAAATCATTTCTTTTTAGTAACATTGTATTTAAATTACTTATCATAAAATTAATTACTGCGAAATAGATAATGTATTATTACGTAAGTTGAAAGATAATTAGAAATACCTGTAAAATCCTGCTAGACCGTCATCGAGTTTTCCATGAAAACTAATGAAAATTTCATAACGATGGTATCCTATGAGGGGTTCTTTAAGAAGTAGAATTAGAAAATCGTTTTCCTTTTGGAATTCGATGTCAGCAATCTTTATAGTCTTAGAATCATTGCTTGATAAATCTTTTATGGTTATTTTGTCTTTGTGAATGTCCAAATTTTTGGAATGAAGGGTTATATTGCGAGTTGGTTGAACGCATGTTGTCTGAAAAAAAAAATGGGTATTATGATAGATGGATAGATAGATGATAAAGTCTCGGAAATACCCTAAGTCCATTCGCTTTCTTTATTGTTTAAATGTAAAATGGATGAAACAAAAAGTTACTAGATTTTGGTACGTCGTAGATTAATTACATCATGTTATTAAGTCAGGTGGCAGTTATCAAGGGTATTTTTGTTGAATCTAATTCTCGAAAATATTTTAATATCAATTTGATGAGACATAATTTTTGGCAATAATAAATGATTAGAGCTCGAGAGCTTCAGTTTGAGGGCTTTAATCAATTGATTATTTAAAATTATGAATTTAACATGTCGTAGATCGCAAATCAGAATTGATTATTAATGCCAAGATTATATAGAATCAAATTGTAAAATATTCGAGAAATTTAGTAACAACAAAAATAACAGAATATTAATCAAGGTCGTGTTATACAGGGTGTCCCGAAATTAGACGCTACTGTTTTAACAGCATAATCTACATCCTAAAATAGAAGTAAAGGTTTATATAAACATAGGTTCGAAAACGTTTTGTTTCCGAGATACAGAGTGTTAAAAGTGAAGTCCTGATGACACATTTTTGTAAATATTTTCTAAACTTTTAAAGATAACTAAGTATTTAATGGACTAAACGCCAGTGTTTGATCATCTTCATAGGTGGGTAAATTAGGGGAGGGGCTTAGGGTTAAATTGTCCTAAGTTTTTTTGTTGACTGTTTTTAACATTTTTGACTACAAAATTAGAAAAACCAATATTTTCAGTAGTAATACTATAAGTATTTCAAAATAATCAGGTTATACATCGATAACTTGTTGCATAATTATAAAGAGTGTCAGTTTGACAGTTTAAATAATCCGACCGTGAAGCGGGAGGATTATTCTGTCAAACTGACACGATTTGTAATTATGCAGGAAGTTTGAGATGTATAACCGTATTTATTTTGAAGTACGTATTATATTTGATACGATTATTTTTTGAGTAAATTAAGTAAATATCAACAATTTATTAATTTAAATACATATTGGTACAATGAAAATTACAATTATTAATTATTGATAAACGTCAAAATTTGACGGTCCTGTTAGTTAGTGTATTATTGTTGTCGATGTGGTTACTACGGAAATGAAATTATTGTAAATATTTTTGATTGGTGGAGCTACTCTATGTATAATCAGGTATTATCGAAATTATACGAGGTAACTTAACTAAATTGAACGTTCTAATTGGTTAAAAGTTATACGAAAAAAATAATCTTCATAATAAAGCTACTTTTGTTGAATCTCGCTAGGACGCACCATTTTCAAGAGAAAAGCATTTAAAAATTTCATGATAAGTTGATATTATCTTATTGGAAAGTGTAAACAATAATTAGTAGGCCAGTGGAATCAGAAATTAAATCTTTTTTAATTTTGGAAAACCGGTGATTAAAGAAAATTTAGAAAATATTTACAAAAATGTGCCATCAGGACTTCACTTGTAACACCCTGTATCTTGAAAACGAAACGTTTTTGGACCTATGTTTATATGAACTTTTATTTCTATTTTAAGATGTAGATTACGCAGTTAAAATATGACTGTCTAATTTCGGGACACTCTGTATTTGGGACGACTATTTCACTAGACCAAATATTGACTATTTCTTTAGAGAAATAGTCGATATTTGGTCTAGGGTCAAAATAATTTGTTAGAAATTTGTATATTTGAATAATTCAAAAGTTTTTATAAGTATTCAACAAAATGGTGAAACGATTGTGATCAATCAAAAAGTTTAATCCTAGTTTCCAATTTTAAGAGACACAAATCTATTTGCGAGGCTCTTGGAAAGATACAATCAAATGGCTGCAGAGGCATTAAATATTTCGCAGAAAACTATCTACAGACTTAGTAAAACAACAAATTCTGATACAGAATATGTGAAAATAATATCTAAAAAAGTAAGCCAAAGTAGAACACGCAACATGTAACAATGAAATCGTTACTTAAACGATTTTCGGAAGAAATGCCTCATGTAAAATGTTTTGCATGGTCATTTAATACAAGGATTCGAAAAATTGGCTTTCGCTTTAAAAGAAGTAACTACAGTTTTTATTGGAACGAACATCGATGTAGTTAAAAAAATTTTTAACAAGGAGATAGAGCTGGGTAACTTTAAGCTTGTATTTATGGATGAGACGTGGGTATATAACAAGGAAAGTGACAGAAAAAGTTCGCAAGATGGAACGATGGCTAGTTTTAAGTAAAAAAACAAGAGATGAAATTCAATACATAGTTGTCCATGATAGCAATGAAGAAAGGTTTATAAAAAATGCAGTCCTCGTATTTTAAAGTCAAACAAAAATCGGGGATTATCATAATAATATGAACACAGAAAATTTTGAAACATGGTTTAAGACGAAATTCATACCTAGTCTAGAACATCCTTCTTTGATTATAATCGATAATGCCGATAATGGTACGTGGAACCAATTCCATGTTATAGTTGGTCAGAAGATAAAATGGTTGCAGCAAAAGAACATTAATTATCCAATCAATGGTATGACATATCAGATTTGGGAAGTTGTACGTCAAAATTTACCTCGAAAAGAATTCCACCTAGATAGATATGTTGAAGAATATGGGCATAAAGTATTAAGAATTCACTGCCGGTAAAATGCGATATTATAGATGGTGTGGTCACAGTGCAAACGATTTTATGACAAACAAATTTTAACAACAAAGTTGTCATCGGAAGATATATTTCAAAATTGGTCAGAAGCTTTGAATCACGTTACCGATATTCAGTGTGACAATTCAGCCGTTTATTTTGAGTCCATTTATAATTAAATTAAGATATTCATTATCGATTATGTCGGAATGCAGTGACGAAGGTAATTTTAATTAATTAGTATTTAACAAGTTAACATCAGTTTTTGGACAATTGCATTAGTTGAATAATTAGTATGTTTAATTAATGCAGTTAAAAAAAATTTACACAAACCCTTAGATATCTCAATTTAAGTATAAATGGACTTAGGCCACTTTCAAAATAAACGGCTCAATTATGACACACTAAAAACATAATTGTTTCCGTTTGGGAAAAATGCAAGCATTTAGATGTTTCTGATCTATAACCAATTATTATTAATTTAAGTACAACGGCAAATAGTAATGAGTCTGAAATCAGAGTCCAGTTATGAAGAAAATGATATTGATTAAAAAAAATTATATAATTTATCCAATAAATATTTTCTGTGCCTCTTGTAATATATTTTTTAACAAAGATCTGTTTCATGAATTTGCACCTGTTTTAGATCACCTTTAAAAACTCTAAAAACGCTAAAAAACAAGAGAGACAGGGATAAGCTTTGGCTAAAACTATAAGCCTGCACGCCTGATATTAAACATACTATGTGTATCCCAGCATCCAGATGAAGATACCCGCCTCATAGAAACTAGATATCGGTGAACAGAAAGTTTCACATCTGGGAAAAATAACTACTCCAAACATTGACCACATAGTACATTTCATTACAAGTGCAAAAAATACGCTTTTCCCGTCGAGCGTGATAATTTTCCGTGCGAGGCGAAGCCGAATACAGGAAGGCATTTAAGCACGGGAAAAGCCTTTATAGACGTATATTGGATTATATTAATAAGTAGGGGAACCGGGTATAGAACGGGGTACCGGGTATAGAACGGGGTACCGGGTATAGAACGGGGTACCGAGGTAGACCGGGTACCACGTTTTAAATTTTCGCGGGTTAACGCAGGACCGCCATTTCAATATATATTCATAATGCGTTGGCATTCACTTGGCAATATATTTGACCTTATCGATAGTCTTTCGAGAGCTATAACGTCGAATGCATGATCTAAGAAAGTCCACTGTAAAAATTATTTAGTTTAAAACTTTTGTTATTTATTTAGTCACAAACGCATGCTCCTGGGGCAGAATGGGGAGAGGCAGAACGGGGCATACCCCGTTCCGCCCCACGAATATGTTGAACTACTATAATTTATTATAAATGTTTTAAGCTTGATTTTTATGCAGCAACATTTAACCATTATTATCCTAAATTTCCAATGCACACTAAATGTATTATTTTTAAGCTATTTCATAGCTTTTATCGCGGGCTTTGAGCGCGCCGACCGAATCAAGAAATTCCGTAACACCGTAACGAAAATAAACCTAACACCCCCCACTCCGACCGGCACAGCGGTGCGGCGTTGAAACTTTCAACTTGAAAGCTGTGGAAGGTTTTATCCGACCCTATTCGTATTAGTATGAAGCGGAGTTAAATATACGTCTGCGGACTGGAACGTTTATGCAATACAAGAACTAGAAGAGCTTTCTCTGGCTTCTAATAAATTGGTATCACAAATGTTCCCGGCTGGCGTAAATATTAGATAATAATTTTTTTCGCAAGATTTATAAAATATTAATTTTAAGCTATTGCATAGCATTTATCGCGGGCTTTGAGCGCGGCGACCGACTCCGTAACGAAAAAAAACCTAACACCCCCCCACTCCGACCGGCACAGCGGTGCGGCGTTAAACAATATTAACCTCATTTATTCAATAAAAGAAAATCGAAAAATCGAAAAATCGAAAAATCGAAAAATCGAAAAATTGAAAAATCAAAAAATCGAAAAATGGTAAAAGAAATTCCATAACGAAAATAAACCTAACACCCCCCACTCTGACCGGCACAGCGGTGCGGCGTTGAAAGCTGTGCATCGTCTAACGTCGTTTCAGTTCGGCAGACTTCGGCACGGTATTTGTGTGCGTGCGACTAGACGTATGCAAGTAGACTAGCTGCTAACTGCTCATAACTGATTCTATCTCTTTTAGACACAATTTCGGAAAAATTCAATTTGAAAATAAATAATGATCCAAAAGAATCTACAACAAAATATGGGACCACCATTGACGCGGTATTTTCCAGATATTTAGAGGATATCAAGCCTCAAACTTATGTTTCTTATTTCAGTTACCATAAACCTATAG